TTCATAGATTCTGTAAGTTCTCCATTGGTAGCGCATTCATTAAACATGTTTAAAATTAAGTCTCTTATATCTTCCCAGAAAACTCTATAAAACTCAAAAGGCAGACCATCAGGTCCTGGACTTTTGTTGGAAGGCGTTTTTTTAATAATATCATCCAGTTCCCTTAAAGACATTTCCTCTTCACAAAGGTTTTTATTAATCTTACTTATGCAAGGAATAAAATGCTTTAATTTACTAAAAAAAAGGTCACTTGAGTCAGAGTTAAAATTAGATGTGTATAACTTTTGATAAAAATCTGAAACAAATTTTGAAATAGTCTTTTCATCTGTTACTACATTGTTATCAATATACAAAGAACAAATTTTTTTCGTTTCACCCCGTTTTTTTTCTAAGTTAAAAAAGTATGCCGAATTTTTTTCACCAACTTCTAGCCATTTGGCTCTAGATCTAATAAAAGCCCCTTTTGCCTTTTCCATATAGAGAGTGTTTAGTTTTTCTCTTAATGTATATAATTTTTCTGTCTCTGTGTCAGATGGGGAAGTAATACATGCTAAATGATTAATTTCTTTTACTAAGGATTCATAATATAGTCCCTTAGAATTTGACAATTTTTTACTAAATTTGATTGAAAAATTGCGACACTCAAATTTTAATAATTCCCAGTTTAAGATATGAGAGTTGACTGTGTTTTTTTTAAAAGAGTTAATTATGCCTTTAATCCCCAAACAGTATTCAGAGTTTTGTAATAGAGAGGTGTTTAATTTCCAATATCCAGGTTTTCTTGATGAATTACAGATAAAATTTGAAATTTCTAGTTCAATTCCTGCATGATCGGTTAATGGGGCTGTGGAGATACTGCAAGATTTAACAGATGAAATCAAACTATCAGAAATTAACCAAAAATCTATACGTGATTTCTGAGTCAGGTCAGATTTAAACCAGGAAAAAAAAGAGGAAATGTCGTTGTGTAAAAGTCTATATATATCTACCAAAGAAAGATTAGAACAAATATCACTAATAATTTTATTGGGTGTATTATTGTCATATTTTGGAGGAAATCTATCAAAGCAAAGGTCAGGAGCTTCATTAAAGTCCCCACCTGTAATGATTGTTGAGGATGGATATTTTATTTTTAAAGAAACTAGTTTAACAGTTAAATCTGAAAAGAACACGGTGTTAAGATTGGGCCGATTATAGCCGTATACATTTGTAAGAATAACAATGTTTTCTTTAAACTGAGTTACAGTGATTAACCACCTGCCTACATTTGAGCAATGCGATTCAAGTAAGGTGTTATTAAACTGTGGATTAAATAAAGTCATAACCCCGGCTGAGTTATTAGAACCATGACAAAACATAATTTTTCTCCCCCACTGGTTCGACCAAAAAGATTCATCTTTCACGTTTGAATGTGATTCCTGCAAAAAATAGACATCTCTGTTTTTTGATTTACAAAAAAGAAATAAAGCTTTACGTTTAGTTAAGTCCCTAATTCCCCTAACATTAAGTGAAAAACAAGACAAACTAAATGACATGACATAACAATTTGAACGAGTTCTGAAACTATTCAAGTAGTAAAACTACTGTAGAAGAACGTCTTTTACAATTTAGAGTAAAGAAAAAAGATGAGTGCAACACTTGTCCAGACCTCCTCATCATAAACATATTTTCGATTTTCTAGTTTGAAAAAAGAACCCAACATTTAGCAAAAACAAAGAGAGTGTAAGTTTTTAACATTAGAAAGTGTAAGTGTGTCAGTTAAATATCGTCCACAGTGACTTTTTTCCCGTCAATGACAGCCGTGGAGCCCTGAAACCCTGCACGTTTACCTTCCAGTCTAGCTTGATTGACAAGCGGCCACAGTTTGTTCCGAGCATCTCTTGCACGCTGTGTCAAGTCCTCCGTTATTCTGATATTTTTTTGTTTGAGGATTTCGGAGCGCTTCGCGTCGGTCCAGATGAGGTCACGGTGCGTACGAGACATGAACTGCACAATGATGCGACGAGGATGTGTCAGATTTTTCTTACCGAGTCTGTGAGCAACGTCAATTGAGGATTGCAGAACATCAGTCAAACACGGTGAAACAAGCCGCAGTATTTCCATTACCTCCATTTTCACGTTTTCTCCTTCTACTTCAGGGATACCAGCAATCCGAAGATTCCACCGCCTTTTGTAGGTCTCAAGCTCGTCCAACTTTTGCCAGAGTTGTTTATTTTCTGTTTTTAAGGATGTAACTTGATCCTTTATCTCACTTGATTTGGCAACGGCTAAGTCAGCTTTGTTAGCAATCGTGTCTATTTCAGACACGAGTTCGGTGATGCGGCTCGAGTTGTTTGAAACAGATTGTTCAATTGCCACCAATTTCTCCAAAAAATCATCTTGTTTTTTGGCCAATTTTTCAATTGCTTCCAAGATAACTGCATTAGATGGATCGTCTGTGTGGCGTCGCATCTTTGCGTTTGGACTCTTCGTCGGAGTTTCAGGTAGCGTTGATGAATCAAAATCTTCCTCTGTTGTTTTGGTATAGCTATGTTGTCTCTTTACTGCCAAAGCGTCTTCCATAGCAAGCTGAAATAACTTTTCCTTGTTTCTAGGCCTACGTTATATCAGATGGGTAACAAGCGAGCTACGTCAATGTTCATAAAGCCACTTGTTGCACACACACACAAAAAAAACACTCTTAAAAAGTAGGGTTCATAAGTATCAAATTCGTTACGCTATATTATTATTATTTTACAGTCATGAGAGCAAGTTTAGGTCAAGAACTGCAGATAAGGTTTAAGAGCTACTAAAACCACGTCTTACATAGGCGCCATCTTGCCGCCTCCTCGATCATACAACCACCTTGCATTTACATGTTGTGCAGTTACTGCAATTAGTATTACTATTTTATAATTATTAATTTTGTTATTTTTTGCTGTTCTAATTGTTATTTATATAATTACTTATGTGAGATTTTTGTATTGTTTTAGAAAACCACAACTTATCTTCAGTATATGTCTGCAGGGATTTAAACACACCCAATCATCTCAATATGAACAATTGAGATGATATTGTCATATTTTCTAGACGTGGTAAGAACTCTGGCAGCTGCACTTTGTACTAGCTGGAGTTTGTAAATAGAGGATGCTGGGCAGCCAGCAAAAAGAGCATTACAGTAATCCAGCCTAGAAGTCATAAAAGCATGGACTAGCGTTTCAGCATCTGAGATGGATAGCATACTTTGTAATTTAGCGATATTTCTCAGATGAAAGAAGACAGTTTTTGTGACATGGGATATATGATTTTCAAAAGTTAAGTTGCTGTCTAATATGACACCCAGATCTTTTATAGTAGAGCTAACTTTGTATCCCTCTAATATCAGTGTACCTTGCATGATTTATAAATTGCATCAAGTTATCGCGTTTTCATAGTTGTCTATTTCACTTTTTGTAAATGTAATATGCATTATTTTTATTTCAGGCCTGATGGAGGAGACACACCATATGAAAATGAGAGAAACTAAATACTTTTTGAAGACAAATTTTCTCTGATTTAGTAAGTCGTTTTAAATGAGCCTGATCTTCTCCATACTAAACTCATTTGCTTTGTCCCAATTCGCAGACATGTACGTTCTGAAATGTATGTACTTTTGTGAAGAAAAGGGAGTAGGGGCACTTGAGCGTTTAACAGAATAGCATGCAAACTTTGGGACATACTACTTATTAATAAACCGTTATGTTGCTTATTTACTCCTCCTGTCAATCATTTCGACACATTCCCATTTCTTTCATTTTTACTTACCTTCTATATTGTAGATTCAGCAGTAGGTTAATCTGCCATTCACGAGTCTTTCATGCTGAGAAATCTTTTCAGGTATTTGGATAATTATGCATTCAGAAGGTAATGTTTAAACACGTCTTTATATTAGTTCACATTGTTGTTGCAGATGAAATATAACACGGAAAACGTGATTTAAATATTTTCCAGTCGGCTAGATGTTTATTATAGTCATTCAAAGAATGTTACCTAAGCCTCTCTACTTTTTGACGGTTGCCCCCCGCGTCCGCCATGTTTGTAGTTTGTTTGCACTTTTACTCGAGAATGTACTTATGATCGATTTGCGTCCGACATATAATAATATTATGGCCAATATTAGCGGTTAAAGTACTTCAGATTTCTTACGGAAATAAACCAGAACCTTCTAGAACATCCTCTTCTCAACATTCTGCGGTTTGGAACACTGATTCTATTTTCGAACACGCGTTCCCTCCTTCCGCCAATCAAACACAAACCACATGATGGCGTCACCAGCGTGAACTTACAACCACCAAACAGAGCAAACCTTTGAAACTGTTGTCCATCTTCTTTGGTACCGTCCATTTACAAAAATATTTAGAAAAAATGTCTTGAATTTTATTCGAAGTAAAAAGTGTAATGAATGTACTTTGTATTGGAAAGATGTAGTATTGGGCTTTACTGAGTATTAACAACCTAAAAGTAAACAGTTGTATGTGGCAAACTTAATTTTGCTGCTTGCTAAATTTCACATTCATAAGTCAAAATTTTCTAACTCCAGACCTATGTTTGTGGGGGTTTTTAAACAAATTTAAACAATACCTTTCACTGATCCAATTGTCTTATAACAAAAAGGCTCCAAAAAGCTGTTTCTTTTTTTGTTTTTGCATTTCTTTTTCTTCATTGTTAAATATGATTGTTCTGCCTATTTGTTGTTGTATGTATAAATTGTATACACTGTTTATGGGCTTAATAAAAATAAATAAATAAAACAGAGCAAAGCACGACTGGGAAAGATTGCGGAACAATCTTATCAGTAACAGATTCATTCATGTACTTTACTACAGTAAAACACTATATAGTATTTATTTCTATTATTATGTGGGTAATTATATTTAAATGTGTGAAGGCGACTTTGTCTTTTAGTCACAATTAGAGAGTTTTATGTTGTATATCGGTTGTTTATGCTCTGCAGATGATGTTTTCTCTCTAAAGAAAGGGGATGTGGCGATTAGTGGATGCTGCTGTTATTGTCCTCTAGATGGCAGTAGTGCTGAGCACACAGTTAGCAGAGGCATTATCCGAGTAAAAGCTCAGAGCAAAGAAAACTCGTGTGGAGGTTCAGTGCTGAAGAAATCACGACAACACACTCCAGCTTTTATATTGAACCTTCTGCTGCCAGACTGTTTATCTGACGGACACTTCAGCTGCTTGCCTTTATTCAGTATATATTGGGGCTCAACTGTAAATTCCTCTACAGAAGCGATCAGGAACGCTGGACTTTGTTATTTCAGCTGATATTTCATACACAAACAGGTATGATTCTGTCCTTGTTTATGATTCTCTTCTTATTTATCAGTTCGTATTTTCAGAGGGTATCGCACAAATGCAAGATAAAAGGATTAAGATGCACATTTCCATGTTACACATAATAACCCTGACTTTGTTAAAAGAAAGCAAGTGAAAAATGAAGCTAAACTATATTAAGTTACTAAAGATTTATTCTTTGTCTTTATTACTGTACTCGTAGTTCAAACTCGCCCATTTAGAAGCAAAAACTTTAATAATAAAGTAAACACAGAACAGAAGTCTGGAGCTCCTCCACTGGACTCTTCTTCTGTAGATGTTTTGTGGTGAATCAACATTAAAGGTGCTCTACTGTCACCTGCTGGACTGGGGTGTGAAGCACTGATGGGCATTTTAGTTCTGTAAGCTTTTAAAGTGTAAAACCTGATGTCATTGATGCACTCAGGCATTCTTCCCCTGAGTTTATGCAGTCAAAGCTCTTTACATATTGAAGGGGGAGTTTAAATTGCTATAAATTACTACAGTTTAATAACAGGCATAATAATTTATTTTCTTTTCGGCTTAGTTCCTTTATTAATCAGGGGTCGCCACAGCGGAATGAACCGCCAACTTGTCCAGCATGTTTTACGCAGCAGATGCCCTTCCAGCAGCAACCCTTTACTGGGAAACACCCATACACTCTCATTCACACACATACTCTACAGACAATTTTAGCTTACCCAATCAACCTTTACCGCATATATTTGGACTTGTGTGGGAAACCGGAGCATCTGGGGGAAATCCACGCCAACACAGAGAGAACTATCAATAATTATCTGTTTGTCAAAGCTCAAGCTATCATCTAGAATGACACCCAGAATTTTTACCCAGGGCTTCATAGAAAAACATAATTTATTAAGATTAACTATCGGTGCTCTGGAAGAGTTTGACAGGCTGAACAAAATCATTTCACTCGTAAGGCTGATTTATACTTCTGACTCAAGCACTTGTGTATGCTACGGCGCAGCCTACGCGTTGACGCATAGCCCTACGCCGTGGCCGTCTGCGGCGCTGACGTGCACCTCTCAAAAAATGTAACTACACGTCACAACGGCGCGTAGCGCAAGCTCTGTGATTTGTCGGCAGAGAGCCGTAATAATACCAGCCTCATAATATATTTGGGAGCATTTGTGCGACTGCATATAATGGTTGTAGCGTGACCTGTTTTGATTTTTTTTCTCTAAAAACAAGCTGAATCGCTCTTCCCTGCCACTATATTGATTCATATTAGCTATCAATCACTCAAGACATTCTGCTGTCAGATGACAGGGAGCTTTTATGACCGCCGGGAATGCAAACGGCTGAAGAGTGACAAGAACGCAAACCCCACCTAGTTATAATAATAATAATAATAAAGGCGCAGATAAGAGCGATCGTGACCAAAACGCGACCTGGCGCGTCCATAGAGGCGACCCAGGCGGCCGTAGCAGAATAGAGAGGGTTGCATCCGCGACACCACCCCTCCGTCCTGGTCCCACTTTCGTCCGTGACAATCCCCCCACTGCCCCAGTCCTCACTGTCATACGCGCAATCACACTCCCGTCTCTCGTTTCCGCTTTCGGTATAAGGGCAGCATGATCATCTTTTGCCTAGAGCTGCAGTTCAGTTTGCTCCGCCCCTGATCATGACATGTGGATTTAAACCAATCCAGGCCACTTCCTTTTATCCCTCACAATGCTCTAAGCGGGCCAACAAGATGGCATGATCTACTGTGTCAAACGCAGCACTCGGATCTAACAGCACAGTCTCCAGCATCACCAGTAAGCAAAATATCATTTAAAACCTTTACAAGTGAGGTCTCGGTTGAATGATACTTTTTGAAACCTGACCTAAAACACTCTTTTTTTTTCTTATCTAGTCTTGTAAAAAGATACGTAAAAGATATTTTGAAGTGTTTTGAAAAGTGATTTGCAGTGCAGCTCTACGAGACAACAGATGGAAAAATGAAGGATCCAAAAAAAAAAATTACATGCGAGTCTTTAGTCTTGCAATGCAAAGAACAAAGTAACTCTACCACCGCTGCTTTACTTCTGTTATTAACCCTTTTACTGCAGAGTTTGAAAGATTCTGTCTGGCCCTGGAAGTCAGTTTTGTTAGTAGGGTTGTAACAATATACCGTTATGACGGTTTACCACGATTTGAACGTGCACGATTGTCATACCATGAACAATTGCATATCAACGGTTTTAACCCTTAAAGACAGAGACAGCTGCCCGCGGCTAAAAATAAGTATTGCTCTTAAATGTTTAATAACTTTTGATCCGCCGATCCGATTCATACAATTCAAAGATTGGCATAAAGAAGAGAATCTCAGCTTTCCAGTGCTGTATCACATAACATTCGCGGACTTTCAGAGGCTCCGGAATCAGTGCGGTTACGTCATCAAAATTTGACAACGCTGATTTGACAAAGAAACGCTCGTCACTGTGTCTCCGGACAAATCAGACATGATACATTGATGCATTGTCCCTCCTCCATGCCCAGATTGGTTCAAACTCGCTATATCACAACCAATAAGCATAGGTTTCGCTTTTGTTTGTGGACCAACAATGAGCTTTTTGAATAACACGGAATGAGAGATAGGCATACATTTATGCGCGGCTAAATAAATCACAAAAAAAAGTTTTGCATGAAATAATTCTTATACTAAGTACTTTTGCATGCACAGCAGCACAGAAACATGACAAAACAGTGACACAGCAAAGACGAACTGCTGCTCTTGCTGTTTTCAAAAGACACAAATGAAGGTGCAGCTGTTTGTCTGCATTGCAGACAACCATATCCAAATCCATATCCACAGACAACCATATCCATGCTGGCACATAAAACCTAAGGATGTTCCATATTGAATCTAGTTTCGTTATGTAACTATTTATAGTATAGTAAATATTTATATCTATTTTTTTACTGAGGATTTGCACCATGTTTATTTGGACTTTGACACATTATTTATTATTTTCTTATTTTTTTATTTGTTCATTGTAAGTGGTGTTGTTTATAGTAACTAAAAATATATTATTTGGAAAAAGTCAAATTTGCTTCACTGTTCTATTATTTTGTAACACTTTTTTTCTGTTTAGTTCATTCCCAGACCTTTTGGGCAAATACAAAATAAATACATTTTTTTCCCCCATAGAAAAACCTTTGTTCAGTCAGAAAACGTGTTCTTATTCTTTTCAGGGTCTTTGCTATGAGAATTACTATTTAATACCGTACACCGCGAAACCGTCAAACCGTGGTATTGTTTTTTACGATTATCATACCGTAAAAAATTCATACCGTTACAACCCTATTTGTTAGGTGATCACTATTTTAGAACAATCACCCTTAATGTTTCCGTGGCGACGAGTCATGTTTGTCAGGTGACACACCGCAGCCCCAATAGCGCTGTATGACAGATGTGTCCCTTTATTTACGCTTATCTTTGTTAATACAAAATATAAAAGTGAGTGTTTTTGTTGTTTAAAAGATGTATAAATGATCTTGATGGTGATCTATAACCTGAGATGGGCGTCGCCATGTTTACTTGCGTCCTGTCGTATGTCTCATTCATAAATCAGAACACGCAGGATTCAGCGCGTAAACTCATCAGTTACTCCCAAACTGCATGCAAGTAAGTGGCTGGCCAACTTGGAGAAGAATAGACTCTACTTTATTGTAAATTTTACTAGGTGTATCTGATATGAATCAAATATATATTGGAATGGATTGTTAGACTTTCTTGTGTGTTTTACAAACTCTTAATCAGGGCCGGAGTGGGACTCCTTTTCAGCCCTGGAGTTTCAAGCCTTAGACCGGCCCACCTCGGTTCACGACTGACTATATTAAAACAACGTAATTTCCAATTCAGTTTCAAATGACACGATCACGTCTTTTTCAAGGACACAGCTGCGCTAGAACTTCAAATGTTTTTCCTAAATATGAGAAGATTAAGGGGGAGCTAAATCTCCAACACTCCTCTTTAAAACAACACATTGTCCTTTCCTGCAATATCTGAATATATTCTGTGCAAAATTCTTCATAGATATCCAGTCCTTTGTAACAGTGGTCACACATGAAATAAAAATAAAATATGTACTCCTACATAAGTAACAAAAACAGTATTATATGTCTTAAAACTAAAAATGAAAAATAAATAAATAAATAAACTACTCAGGTGAGGTCCGAACTCGAGTCGGCGGCGTCCTAATGCAACGTGCTGACCACTTGACCACAATGGCACTGTTATGCTGGTGCGTTTGGATAAATCTGCACCACAGTATTACTTTCTATTGATTACTTAATCTTTTTCTCCCTTATGAGATTTCTGATCAAGTCATGTCAGCTTTATTAATGAAGTGAATCATCTGATTTTCATTGAGCAGGTGTAACATTCATTAATATTAATTATTCGAATTCCTATATTCACTAAGATGCTGCTGTTTGGGTTCGAATGATATTTACGTCATCATTAACATGCAGGCTGCAGTTTGCTCATAGGGCTGCAAGAAAACAAAAAGAGCAGAGCTGCGGCAAAATAATGAATAAAAACAGTGAGGTTATGGTCAAATAAGTAAATAAATGAAAAAAGTGTGCCTGCTGAGAGTGCAAGCAGCTAGGGACAGTTGCCCCTGCAGCCAAAATACGGAACGGCGGGAATTCTCCCGGTCCTCCCAATTAGCCAATCCGGCCCTGCTCTAAATGTCTTGTTTTACTAGTACTTGTGTGTATTTACATGTCTAAAACATAAAATAAGCATTGGGTGGTTAAAAACAGCATAATTGTGATCATATGACACGTCTTTCTCTGGCTCAGCACCAGCCAACATGCCAAAGCTCAGTTTGAATTGTTCACGTCATGCTTGTCGAGCTGGATAACAAGCAAACACCAGCACCAGGGACATTACGCTCCTCACTTCAAAACGGAACCAAAGTAGGATTCTGTAGCGGTTTACCTTGCGTTCGCTCCATTCCTCCTCTTTAAAGACTCCAACATGTTTGGATGAGTAGGGTCGCACAGATTTCTCTGCCTTCTCCACTTTCCTCTTAGAGCTGTGATGCACTCCAGAATCTGACAGATTGATTAGCTGTAGACTCTAGAACAGTTAAATGTTGTCCTACAGTGTTCTGCCTGGATTTCATCAATAGTCTTGCATTTACTAACACAGACTATAGTTGAAGTGTTTGGAAGTAATTCACATTTTCCTCCTGTAGAAAAACATCATAAGAACAGTGTTTAGTGGCTCAATGTGTTACAGCAGCTGTTGAAAGTGAATGAATGAAGGAAAATAGTTTGGGCAAATATTAAATATTTATATAAAGAAGGTGACTGAAAGATCTGTATTTTTTATATCACTTTTAAAAAATGCTGTCTTTTCACTTTTATTTTAGGCCTGACTGGGGAGACGTGAGTTAAAATGAGAGGAAAAACAAAATCACTGAAGAGAAAGGACAGAAAACGTGTCACCTGCACTCAGTGTGGGAAGAGTCTGGCAAACAAAGACAATCTCAAGGTCCACATGAGGATTCACACCGGAGAGAGACCATTCACATGTTCTCAGTGCGGGAAGAGTTTTAGAGACTCATCAAACCTTAATAGACACATGTTGATCCACACTGGAGAGAAAACACACTCATGTGATCAATGCGGAAAATCATTTCTGTTGGCTTCAAAGCTGAATGATCACCTTAGAGTTCATGCAACTGAGAAGCCTTCATGCTCTGTGTGTGGAAAGAGTTTTGCACATCAAGTAAATTTAAGAAGACATCAGAAGATCCACACCGGTGTGAGAGAGTATGTGTGCTCTGAGTGTGGGAAGACTTTTTTTACATCTACAAGCTTACAACAACACCAGAGGATTCACACGGGAGAGAAACCGTACAAGTGTTCACACTGCGACAAGAGATTCAGTCAGTTAAGAAACCAGAAAATACATGAGATGATTCACACTGAAGAGAAACCGTACAAGTGTTCACACTGCGACAAAAGATTCAATTGGTTAGGAAACCAGAAAATACATGAGAGGATTCACACTGGAGAGAGACCGTACAAGTGTTCACACTGCGGCATGAGATTCGGTCAGTTATCAAATCTGAAATCACATGAGAGGATTCACACTGGAGAGAAACCGTACAGGTGTTCACACTGCGACAAGAGATTCAGACAGTATAGAAGCCTGAAAACACACGAGAGGATTCACACTGGAGAGAAACCGTACAGGTGTTCACACTGCAACAAGAGATTCAGTCAGTTTAGAAGCCTGAAATCACATGTGAGGATTCACACTGGAGATACAGATATGCAAACTTGCAGTATTGATGGGTTGTTCTGGAACAAATCTTTAATGTGACTCTGCAATAACGAGTCCTTTCAGAGTGATTCTTTCATTGCTGTATGTGCAGATAGGGGAAATGATCAATTATTTTTTATTCTATCAGGTTTGAGTCGTTCATTAATCAGATGAAATATCTGTAGATCCATCCTCTATGCACTTTGAGCTGCAAAAAAAATTATTCATATTTTCAAGTCCTCTGGTTTTGGAGTTGTTTGTCTTTACATGTAACTTGACAGCAGAAAATCATTTGAATTCATAGGAATTAGCCACTAAATCAAAAAGTTACGAATTGCCGTGAGATTGCGTTGGTGCCCTGAACTAGCGAATCAGGCTCTTTCTTGGTATACTAGACTTCCAGGCAGGTGTGCTGAAAACACAGCAGAAATGTGCCACTGATTTACTCCAGTTGTAGTTGACAGTATCTGATGGCCCGTTTCCACTGAGTGGTTCGTTTCTGTATGCTTTTAAGCAGGGCTTTACATTAACACCCACCAAATGCGGGTAGATTTCAGCTTTGGCGGGTTAGACAGTCACTCCCACTAGCCACTTTGGCTGGCTGAAAATAATTTTTAAATTGTGGTTTTCTTAAAAGCAGGGTTCGACTATAAGAATGACCCAATATGTGATCTTAGAACGGAGAAATAGCACGACTAACAAAAAAACAAAACAAAAAAAATTGCATTCGCGAAAGCAGATGAATACCAAATGAGAGGATAATCACTCGCGCTAACAGCTGATGTGATGCGCGCAACAGTTTAAAGCGTGCGCGCTCCTGTTTCCTTCCTTGAAGCACGCGCGCTTGGAACGCAACTGTGATCGGATCTCTTTCAAATAGTCATCAAAAAAGATTATTAATTGGCCTTAACCATGTGATCATCCTTGCATTATCACACGGTATGTTTGTCACCTGCTTTCTTTTGCTTACGGTTATTTTTGCTTATATGGTTTAATTTAGGGCTGTGCAATTAATCAAAAATCCGATTTCAATTATGGCTTCTAACGATTATGAAAAACCATTAATCAGGATAAAAGATATTTGCACCAAAAGCACGAAAGACCGCGCGCTTATGTGTGTGTGCAACACGCGCACACACATAAGCACACGTTCAGCATTCGGCCTCATTCGCACACTGAGACGAACAGAGAAGCGCAGTCATCTAAAGTCATCTTAACATGAGCGCTTAAATGGTCAAATAGGTGTCAAAACGCGGTGATTAGTGATTATTCATATTAACCCTCATTTGCGTAATAAACAAACAAGTTGAGAATCAAAAGACGTGAAAGAGAAACCCTTAAAGTGACAGTGCGAAATGCTGCCGCCTGTTTTATCATTAATCAAACGACGAGAAAATTCCTCGCTGCTCTTGACTGAAAGACTTTTGTAGCTAAAGTGTTCTTCTTAGGGTGAAGATGCTTAAATCACAGTTTGTTTTATATTTTTATTCTATTGTATTTATTTCTCTTTCCTGTGCAGGGTGGAAAATAACTGTATATATACAGTTGTAGTCAGAATTATTAGCCCTCCAGAATATTACCAACCCTTTTCCTCTAATTTCTGTTTAATGGAAAGAAGTTTTTTTTTTTTTACGTATTTCTGAACATACTAGTTTTGATATCTCATGTCTAATTACTGATTTGTTTTATCTTTGCTATGATGACAGTACATAACAGTTTACTAGATGTTTTTCAAAATACAAGCATTTAGATTAAAGTGCAATTCAAAGGCTTAATTAGAGTAATTAGGCAAGTCGTTGTATAACAGTAGTTTCTTCTGCAGACAATCAAAAAATATATTGCTTAAGGGGGCTAATAATATTGACCTTAAAATGGGTTTCATTTAAACCTGCTTTTATTCTAGCTAAAATAAAACAAATAAGACTTTCTGTAGAAGAAAAAAATATTAGAGGAAATACTGTTAAAATTCCTTGCTATGTTTAACATAATTTGGGAAATAGTTGTTTAAAAAAACAAAATTCTCAGGAGCGCTAATAATTTTGACTTCAACTGATAATCGTTTTGAATAATCGTGATTACAATTATGACCAAAATAATCGCGATTATGATTTTTTCCAAAATCGAGCAGCCCTAGTTTAATTATCATTTTTTACAACATTTGCTTTAATATGAGATTAACTCCATTTATGTGTGGTTAACTGGTGAACTGAGAGACCTTTAGCGAGGACAGATTACTGTGCATATTTTTGATACATGACAATAATTATTTTTCAAAGTCAATTGTTTTTCTTTGTTTTTTTTTAAATAAATGTTTTGTTAAATAATAAGTATAGTATACAGCTATATTTAGCTTGTTTGACACATTTAAAATTTGTGGCAAAGAAATAATTATTGTTTGGAGTGGTCAGAGATAAATTAGCTAAATCCCTAATTTTGAGTTCTGAAAAGTGATGTGAAATAAACACTAATTGCACACTGTGAAACCATGACCCATTTGCTCATACACGAAAATGTGAAATGAATGAGGAGGCATGTGGACATAACACAAAATCTAAATCAAGTCATTTTAGCATGTCTAAGTCATATTTATGCATATAAAAATATACAACAAAATTGTGGCTAGTGAAAATGCAGCATGGCTGGTAACGTTGGAAAACTACTAGCCACTGTGGCTGGTGATCAAAAAAGCTAATGTAAAGCCCTGCTTTTAAGGCCGTTCCTACTGTCAAAGGGCACCAAAAACCGTACCACTTTTTGGGTACCTTTTTGAAAGGGTACTAAGCAAGACAAAAGGGTACCAAAAGGCAGAGCTAGACGCGCAGCTGAATGCTATTGGTTTACTGAGACACGTCACCAGCGCATACACATGCAGAAGAATGAAAACAAAGAAACCGCAATTTTAAAAACACAGCCGAGACATTACACCATAATAATATATACATATAATAACAAGCCATGGTCAACTCGAGCTTAAACAAACCTCATCATCGTCTTGATGAACAGCAACAAAGCCAAGAAGACTAAGATCTGCCGTGTCCTGTTGTTGTTTTACAAGCCCGTCTAAAAGCGTGAGCGGTTTCACTTTCTTACTTGCACTCGCGTCTGCGTCTATATTTGAAATAAAGAACTTCTTGAGCTGATGATAATAACGTGCTCGTGATCATTGAAGTGCTTCTGACATCCAATCCTTTCAGAAACGGACAAACGCGAGAGTGAAGTAAAAAAACAAAGGAGCAAATGATTCTTCCAGCAACCTAAAGCATGAACAAACAGCCCTGTTTAACTATTATCATCAACTTTTGAACTCTTATGAACTCGGACTGACGGAATTACTCTCTAATAAGAGGCCACATGTGCTGAAGAAGAATAAAGATAATTACAGATGAGAGGTTTGCACTGACTGGGCTTTATTTCTAGTTGTTTTTGAACCCAAATAAGGACTAAACGTCTACTGTGTGTTTTTCTGTAATTAGTAACATATCGGAGACTGTAAAGGGCTGTATGTGTGCTGGATTTATTTATTTATTTTATATAATTGCAGATGTTACAGTAGGCTATTTCACACTGTCATTGATCTGCAGTTATAATCAAATCATGTTGATAGAAAGGTTAGTAATGATCATTTATACACAAGTATTTAAGTGTATGAAGCATCTGTTTTGTGAGAAGTGCTTCTCATATGATATGTGAACGACCAGTACAGCTTTACTTTGACATTTCCTTGACTGAGAATGACGTTGACTGAAACTTTCTGTCGTACACCACGCCTATAGGTACCCTTTTGGCATTAAAAACGCAAGCCTGAGAAAGGTGACCCATACCATACTGTACTGTACCACTTAGTGGAAACGGGTCATAATAGACTGGGAGATAAAAATAATTTAAATTTATTTTAGGCAATAATTTCAGTGACACTGACAAAACAACTAAGTCACAGTTTAAAATAGTACTGAATAAATCACTTTTCTAAGTAGTGCATTTATAAATAGCCAGTAAAAAGAACAAAAACAATTAATTTGTCTAATGATATTCAAGCATTTGTGTCCATTATACCCATTATTTTAATTAAACTTTGTGAATACGTTTAACGTTTAATTCTTTATGCTAAACACCAGTAGCATAAAGTAGAATGATCCACCCTTAAGCTAAACGAGCATCTTATTTAATATGTTAAGCTAATTGGTAAACGCATTTGACCAGAAATAAAACCTTTGACCAATAAAAACCTTTTACCACGCCTCTACTTTATGCCACGCCCATTTCTATAGACTGCAGTTACCAATAGACCAATTACCGACCTACATCACACATGACGTCACACGGTTGCAAAAAAAAGACAGGCTGCAATGGTAAACATGTCGTTTCGTGCTGTAGGATGCCAAATTCGAGTCCAAAAATAGAAAACGTAACTTTTACCATACACTATACACTGGTTTAAAACCGACTGCAGACGTCTTTGGCTAAATGGGAGCTGAATGAAGTGAGGAGCTAATTAGAAATGCTGGACACTGCAGTTCTCATGTCATATCAGGTCAGTTCACGCTATGCTGAATCAGACACATCACTTGTTTTTAATTGCAGAAATGATTTCAGCAAAAACCGTTACATATGGTTAATTAAACTGCTGACACTGAATGCTAAGAATGAAAAGTGAAAGTTATGTTTATTAAGGTAAAGTTAGTTTTATATTCACACACTCATTCAGTGACAACTTGTGACAAACTCCCTATATTGTTTACCACGGCACTTTGCATATTCGCTCTGAAATAACCTGCAAGTGTGACTTGAAAACAACATTAACACTGGTTATTTGACTGTGAACAATGTTGTACTTTGATAGTCATTGGCTGCTTACAAGATTTCGCTATTTAGAGTTTGCAAATAATACTTTCATGAAATTATATTATTAAGGAGAAAGTCTGAATGTGCGAATATAAAACCAGCTTTACCTCTATGTGTAGGTTCACATACCCTGCCGTACAGGTGCAGTTCATGGGCGTAAATCCCAGGGGGGACATGTTCCTTGGGCTGAGTTCAGGGGCGGACTGGCCATCTGGCAATTCTGGCAAATGCCAGAAGGGCCGGACCATTTTTTATTTAATTTATTTTTTCATATGTATTATTTTTTAAATGTAGGTAGCTTTTATCTCTTATCGAGATGTGAATATTATGATGATGATGGTGATAAAATAAAGAATAACAGTAAATGTTAAACATTGGCCCAGTCAGCAACAACCGGCTGGTTTCAAGATGGGCCAACCTAATCTGAGGTTACGCAGACATAATCAAAATTTGGCAAGAATGTCAAACAAACAGTAAGTGCAACACAAGCTAATTGTCAGAGAAGGAACATAAAAAGGGAAAGGCAGTCAAGTCAGACATTTCCAATTACATAAAATTAACTGAACTAGTCTCGAAAGGGGGTAGTGCAGTGGTGCAGTAGGTAGTGCTGTCGCCTCACAGCAAGAAAACCTCACTGGTTTGAGCCTTATCTGGGTCAGTTGGTGTTTCTGTGTGGAGTTTGCATGTTCGCGTGGGTTTGCTTCTGGTTTCCTTCACAAGTCCAAACACATGCTATAGGTGAATTGGGTAGGCCAATTGGGAATTGGGTAACCCAGTAATAGATTGCAGCTTTTAGGGCATCCACTGTATAAACATATGCAGGATAAGTTGTCGATTCCCAGATTAATAAAGGGACTAAGCCGAAAAGAAAATGAATGACATGATTGCGTATATAAATGGGTTGATTTTGTTTCAGTCACATACATAGAATGTTTAAATATCTCTTAAATAGGTACTGCTTATATAATTTCACCATCTGTACACAAATATAAGTAGTGAATGTGCGTGTCCTTGGGTGGGGCTGTGTCGGTGTGGTAATGTGGGCTGGTGTGGCTACAATGCCAGGGCTAATTTTTAGTCCCAGTCCGCCCCTGGCTGAGTTACTGTTGTAAGTAGGGGGGTTTTAACCCACCTTAAAGCGATTCTCCTTTATGTAGTTAATACTGACTCTTTCATAAATTATTTGCGGCAAAAATGCTGATTAAGGATGTAATTGTCCATGAATCTGCTGTATTAGCGATTAAAATTACTTATCTAGGTAACATTAGCTTGTGGCTAACGCTAAAGCCGTTTCCCATGCATTGTTTCATTTGTGACGACTTGGCATAATGTTAACTTAACATTAACGACTACAATTTGCATATTATTAGTTGTGTATTTGCTAAATGAGCACTGCTACACTGTGCACACTAACCCCACTGTATTTTTTTTTGTTTAATCAGTTTCTATTCTGTTTTAAGTGACTCAATTAATTTGAAATTAAAATGTTGAACTTTTTTAATTCTTTGTTGTTGTGATTATTTTTATGATAGTTTTGCATTCTTTATGTTAAGCACTTTGAATTGACATTGTGTCTAAAATGTGCTACAGCATAAATGAACTTGCCTTGCAGTGTCATGTATTGGATAAAATGACAGAAAAATGGATAATTTTTCAGTGCAGCTAAACGCCAAGTACAAAAACTTCACATATTAAGCAATTTGACTTTCAGAATGAGTGCTTATGAAAATACTAATGTCACAATATCAGTCACAGGCAAAGGAGAAAGAAATGATTGAGGATCAGGCAGAGCAGGGTCAGTCAGATGTACAGTGTCAGGTAAGGGTGTTGTGCTTTATTGAAGGGATGATGATAATTCTTTTGGGGGGTGAACAATTTTTTTTTTAAATGTTTTCTGAGTTGTGGCTGTTTAGCAGATGAACTTCACAGGCTCATTGATTTACAATATGATTGGTTATTTTAACGTTTTAAAGTTAGTTATTATGAGTATGGAAAATGTCTTTTCCTGCATTTATTCTGCTTCAGGAGTCAGTCTACTGATTGTAAACAACACAACAAACAATGCAATAAATAGTTTTAAAGAAAAATTTGCTGTCATTGAACCTAAGAAAAAATTTGAGAACAATCATAATGATGAAGTCTCCATGCTATACTAATATTTATAATGAAACCATTTTAACTGCGGGGACATATCTTTATTAGTGAAATTCGGCTGTATTATTTGTGTCCCCTTCAAAAAAATGCTGGAAAGAAGTTTTATATTTATTGTCCCCCCCTACTGTTAAATCAGATTTACACCCATGCTTTTTGGTGATTAATTACCCAGGCCTTGTGTTACGTTAACTCTGTCTTCTTTCCTTGTCTTTGGCTAGGCAGAATCTCGGTTTTTAGCACTACACAGAGTTGAATCTGGTCATCTTGGAGCATTATTTCTTGCACATGACCACAAAGAACATTGTTGGCATCCAAAGACTTGTAGACCTTGTTGTAAACTTCTAAGAGCCCAAAAAACCAGGGAGAACCTGTCGGTTGTCTTCAAAGCAGAATCCTTTTTAATAAGAAGAACTCAGCATGGCTGTGGCGTCATCGAAAGCAAACTCTAAACTGCACAGCTAACACTATACATTTATACATTTCCAGCATGTAGGTTGGGTCAGATGCAAATGAAGTGTTGTGGTCAGCAGGGTAAACTGCTTTTTCAGGCCTGGTCTCATCATGTTATAGAGACAGAAACTGCCTAACTAGTTGAGAGCAGTAATAGAGAAAACAAGTTACACAGCGTGCTGTGAAACTGACACTTTGCATTACTTTTGGAATATAAATTATATTACCACAACCTTTAACTTCTTTCTTGTAAAATCACTTGGAGCTTCATTGAGATTGTATATTTGCGAGATTGTCTGCGGCTCTTTCCCTGTGTTTGAGTAAATTTAGCTTTTTCAATATGTACTTTTTTATATACCCCCTGTGTTTAGCTGTTACTTCTTTTTTTGTTTGTTTGCTTTTTGCTTTTTTTATTTCTTTGTTAAATATGATTGTTCTGCCTATTTGTTGGTGTATGTATACATTGTATACACTGTTTATGGGCTTAATAAAAATAAATAAATAAACAGAGCAAAGCACGACTGGGAAAGAACAGTCAGAACAGGATCCAGTTCAAATTAAGCGCTGCTTGTATCAGTAACAGATTCATTCATGTACTTTACTACAGTAAAACACTATATAGTATTTATTTCTATTACTATGTAGGTAATTATGTGTGAAGGTGACTTTGTCTTTTCGTCACAATTAGAGAGTTTTATGTTGTATATCGGTTGTTGATGTTTTCTCTCTCTAATGAAAGGGGATGTGGCGATTAGTGGATGCTGCTGTTATTGTCCTCTAGATGGCAGTAGTGCTGAGCACACAGTTAGCAGAGGCATTATCCGAGTAAAAGCTCAGAGCAAGGAAAACTCGTGTGGAGGTTCAGTGCTGAAGAAATCACGACAACACACTCCAGCTTTTATATTGAACCTTCTGCTGCCAGACTGTTTATCTGACGGACACTTCAGCTGCTTGCCTTTATTCAGTATATATTGGGGCTCAACTGTAAATTCCTCTACAGAAGCGATCAGGAACGCTGGACTTTGTTATTTCAGCTGATATTTCGTACACAAACAGGTATGATTCTGTCCTTATTTATGTTACTTTTCTTCTTTAAGAGTTCATATTTTTAGAGGGTATCGCACAAAAGCAAGATAAAAGGATTAAGATGCACATTTCACGCTTTCCTGACTGAACTATACCCCCTGACTCCTTTATAAGCAAGTAAAAATTAAGCTAAGCTATATTAAGTTACTAAAGATTTACTCTTTGTCTTTATTACTGTACTCGTAGTTCAAACTCGCCCATTCAGAAACGAAAACTTTAATAATAAAGTAAACACAGAACAGAAGTCTGGAGCTCCTCCACTGGACTCTTCTTCTGTAGATGTTTTGTGGTGAATCAGCATTAAAGGTGCTCTACTGTCACCTGCTGGACTGGGGTGTGAAGCACTGATGGGCATTTTAGTTCTGTAAGTTAGACTATTAGTTTTCTTCCTTTAGTGTAGTATTTTATTAATCTGCTTCATTACTGCCGCTACATGAATCATCATTAACTTCTGAATGTATTATTATTATCTAAAGACCTGAGGAGATTCTCTGCATGAAAGACTTGTTGAATAGCAGATTAACACACAGCTGAATCTCCAATAATGTTGGGAATTAAATATGGAAGAAATGTGGATGATGTGTGGAGATGATTGAAAGGGGACGTGACTAAACAACATAATGTTCAGTTAATGAGGAAGGAGTATGTGCCAAAGTTTGCGTACTCTTCTGTTACACACTCAAATGTATGTACTTTTTAGGGCTGCAACTAACGATTATTTCGATTAATTGATGAATTTGATTTAAAAACAGAAAATAATTCATTTACAACCCTTTATTCAAAAACAGAACTAAAATCTTTAGAAAGTGCACAAACATGTTGTCCTTGAACATTCCTAAGCTGTTAAAATCATAATAATTATTTATGTAGTAGTTTTGTCCTGTTTTCAATCCAGATATCAAAAAAAAAATCTTGAATCAATCATACAGGGCTCTCAAACTCAAATTGGCGGCAGCATATCAGTGACTGACAATTCATATGAGGGCCGCTTTAACATTCAAGCACAAGAAAAAGTGGACCCCTGAAGTCATTGATGCACTCAGACATTCTTTCCCTGATTTTATGCAGTCAAAGCTCTTTACATATTGAAGGGGGAGTTTAAATTGCTATAAATTACTACAGTTTAATAACAGGCATAATAATTTATTTTCTTTTCGGCTTAGTTCCTTTATTAATCAGGGGTCGCCACAGCAGAATGAACCGCCAACTTGTCCAGCATGTTTTACGCAGCAGATGCCCTTCCAGCAGCAACCCTTTACTGGGAAACACCCATACACTCTCATTCACACACATACTCTACAGACAATTTTAGCTTACCTAATCAATAGGGCTGTGTATTGGCAAGGGCCTCATGATACGATACATGAGTCACGATACGATATATCGCGATACAATAAATATTGTGATATATTGCAATAGTTTGTATAATAGTTTGCAGCGTCATAATGCAATGTGCTGACCACTGGACCACAATTGCACTGTTATGCTGGTGCGTTTTAATAAATCTGCAAGACTCTGAACCACAGTATTACTTTCTATTGATTACTTAATCTTTTTCTCCCTTTTTAGATTTCTGATCAAGTCATGTCAGCTTTATTAATGAAGTGAATCATCTGATTTTCATTGAGCAGGTGTAACATTCATTAATATTAATTATTCGAATTCCTATATTCACTAAGGTGCTGCTGTTTGGGGTCAAATGATATTTTCGTCATCATTAACCTGCAGGCTGCATTTTGGACAGAGGGCTGCAAGAAAATAAATAAAAAGAGCGGAGCAGCGGCAAAATAATGAATAAAAACAGTGAAGTTATGGTCAAATAAGTAAATAAATGAAAAAAGTGTGCCTGCTGAGAGTGCTAGCAGCTAGGGACAGCGGCCCCTGCAGCCAAAATACGGAACGGCGGGAATTCTCCCGGTCCTCCCAATTAGCCAATCCGGCCCTGCTCTAAATGTCTTGTTTTACTAGTACAAGTGTGTATTTACATGTCTAAAACATAAAATAAGCATTGGGTGGTTAAAAACAGCATAATTGTGATGATATGACACGTCTTTCTCTGCCTCAGTGCCTGCCGACATGCCAAAGCTCTGTTTGAATTTTTCACGTCATGCTTGTCGAGCTGGATAACAAGCAAACACCAGCACCAGGGACATTACGCTCCTCACTTCAAAACGGAACCAAAGTAGGATTCTGTAGCGGTTTACCTTGCGTTCGCTCCATTCCTCCTCATCAAAGACTCCCAACATGTTTGGATGAGTAGGGTCGCACAGATTTCTCTGCCTTCTCAGCTTTCCTCTTAGAGCTGTGATGCACTCCAGAATCTGACAGATTGATTAGCTGTGGGCTCTAGAACAGTTAAATGTTGTCCTACAGTGTTCTGCCTGGATTTCATCAATAGTCTTGCATTTACTAACACAGACTATAGTTGAAGTGTTTGGAAGTAATTCACATTTTCCTCCTGTAAAAAAACATCATAAGAACAGTGTTTAGTGGCTCAATGTGTTACAGCAGCTGTTGAAATTGAATGAATGAAGGAAAATAGTTTGGGCAAATATTCAATATTTATATAAAGAAGGTGACTGGAAGATCGGTGTACCTCGCTGAAGACTGAAATAATCGTGATTTTATAGTTGTTGTCTGCTATCATTTGTTTATATCACTTCTATAAAATGCTGTCTTTTCATATTTATTTCAGGCCTGATGGAGGAGACACACCATGTTAAAATGAGAGCAAAAACAAAATCACTGAAGAGAAAAAACAGAAAACGTGTCACCTGCACTCAGTGTGGGAAGAGTCTGGCAGACAAAGACAGTCTCAAGATCCACATGCGGATCCACACTGGAGAGAGACCATTCACATGTTCTCAGTGTGGGATGAGTTTCAAAGACTCATCAGCCCTTAGAAGACACATGTTGATCCACACTGGAAAGAAAACACACACATGTGATCAGTGCGGAAAATCATTTAGGTTGTCTTCAGGCCTGAATGATCACCTTAGAGTTCATGCAACTGAGAAGCCTTATTCATGCACTGTGTGTGGAAAGAGTTTTGCACATCAAGTAAATTTAAGAAGACATCAGAAGATCCACAACAGTGTGAGAGAGTATGTGTGCTCTGAGTGTGAGAAGACCTTTGTTACAGCTGCAAACTTACAACAACACCAGATGATTCACAGTGGAGAAAAACGATACAAGTGTTCACACTGCGACAAGAGATTCAGTTGGTTAGGATGCCAGAAAACACATGAGAGGACTCACACCGGAGAGAAACCATACAAGTGTTCACACTGCGACAAAAGATTCGGTCGGTTATCAAATATGAAAATACATGAGAGGATTCACACTGGAGAGAAACCTTATCCGTGTTCACACTGCGACAAAAGATTCAGTCAGTTAAGAAACCTGATAACACATGAGAGGATTCACACTGGAGAAAAACCTTATCCGTTTTCACACTGCGACAAGAGATTCAGTCAGTTAGTAAGCCAGAAATCACATGAGAGGACTCACACTGGAGAGAAACCTTATCCGTGTTCACACTGCGACAAGAGATTCAGTAAGTTAAGAAGCCTGAAAACACATGAGAGGATTCACACTGAAGAGAGACCGTACAGCTGTTCACACTGCGACAAGAAATTCAGTAAGTTAAGAAGCCTGAAAACACATGAGAGGACTCACACTGGACAGAAACAAGTGAGATTCAGTCAGTCAGAAACATTGAAAAACACACAAGAGTGTCACATCTGAGAGTAACCTTAACATACAGATATGCAAACTTGCAGTATTGATGGGTTGTTCTGAAACAAATCTTTAATGTGACTCCGAATAACGAGTCCTTTCAGATTGATTCTTTCATTGCTGTATGTGCAGATAGGGGAAATAATTATTTTATATTCTATCAGGTTTAAGTCGTTCATTAATCACTTGAAATATCTGTTGATCTATCCTCTATGCAGTTTGAGCAAAAAAATTAAGTCCTCTGGTTTTTGAGTACATGTAACTTGATATCAGGATTGTATGTAGGCAATAGTTCATTATTTATTATTTAAAATCATTATTTTCGTCTGAAAGAGCTCAACTCTTTCAGTATTCACGGCACCCAAATGTGTTAAACCCTGTCAATACACATTTAAAAGATATTAGAGAATGTTTTGTTCTTTAAGTTGAGGATAATTCATTAATATAGATCAGGGGTGTCCAAACTCGGTCCGGGAGGGTCGGTGTCCTCAGCCTGATCTCACGAGGAAACAAAAGTATTTTACGTTTTGTCAGTTTATCGGCTAATTCGGACAAAATTAAAGTTGACAAAATTTAGCCTACCCAATTCACCTGTACCGCATGTCTTTGGACTGTGGGGGAAACCGGAGCACCCGGAGGAAACCCACGCGAAGGCATGGAGAACATGCAAACTCCACACAGAAACGTCTTTAATTCAGCTACCATCAGACCTGTTCAGAAAGGTTCTTTTACATGTTTATAATGAAGGAGGCCTCATGGAATCCTCCATCTTGGTCAAATATATAGTGGAGTTCAAGCTCTCCAGATGTGAATCCTGTGGTTGGCTCTACAAAAACACTGGATACTGTGGCGATGGGAGGACAGGGATGTACAAAGCATTCTATTCAGACAAGAGTCTGACGACGTCTGCCCTATGCACTGCTACTAAACGATGAATGGATGGATTTGTACTTAATGGATGGATTTGTGGTGAACTGATGGATGTATGGATTTGTAGTCAGTGGATGGCATGTTTTTTATTAAGAGATTGTTTTATTTGTATTTTGATAATTAAACCGAAATGTTTATTGAACTTGTGTCTGTGCTCTAAATTGATTAATATGATTTAACATTAGGTTACTAACAAGTTAACTTTATTATAAATCTGTGATATTTGAACAACATATATTTACCAGACAAAAAAAAGTCAAAATCTAAATTTAAGTTATTTTAGGCAATAATTTCAGTGACACTGAGAAACAACGGTCACAGTTTAAAATAGTACTGAATACATCCCTTTACCAAGTAGTGCATTTATAAATAACCAAAAAAGAACAAAAACAATTCATTTGTCCAATGATATTCAAGCATTTGTATCCATTCGAATGCTGATTTATCCATTATTTTAATGAAACTTGTGATTACGTTTAATTTAACGTTTAATTTTTTATTTTAAACACCAGTAGCATAAAGTAGAATGATCCACCCTTAAGCTAAACGAACATCTTATATAATATGTTCATCTAATTGGTCAACGCATTTGACCAGAAATAAAACCTTTGACCAATAAAAACCTTTTGCCACGCCCCTACTGGAAAAAAAACTGACCAATGAAAAACCTTTTGCCACACCCATTTCTCCAGACTGCAGTTACCCATACTAGCCTCAGAATCAGCACTGTAGGCGGGATGTTTGCCTGAACGTCGATCAACAAAAGCTGATTGGCTGCCTGTAGCTGACTCTGAGAAAGCTGATTGGCTGCCTGTAGATCCAGAATCATTGTGGGTATTCAGTCAGGAGAAATAGTAAGTCGTTTGTTTTGGTGGTGCACCTATTATGAAGTGTTTTGGGTTGACTTTATATTTTTAAAAAAAAAAGATGTTTTAGAATGTAGAAACTTAATTTAGCTTAACATTAGCTTAATTTTGAACTTGCCTTCATGTAACTGAGTCAGGGCTAACGTTATATTTCAGTCAGGATAGCGTGAAATGTGCATCTTAATATCTTTATCTTGGTTTTGTGTGGTACACAGAAAACATGAACTGATAAAGAAGGTAAGAAACATAAATAGGGGAAAAAAGAAACATGAGAAGTGTTTATTGACACGGTGGTAATGGGCTCCTTTGAGGTCTGCCTCACCTTAACTGCATCGTAGACGAGAGCAGGCGGCTGCAGTTACGGCCCGTTTCCCCTGACTGGTACAGCTCAGTACGGTACGGCTCACCTTTATCAGGCTTGCATTTCCACTACCATCCGCTTGTTAAGTGGTGACGTGTTGGTGACGTATGTAATACTGTTTTTGGGTCCAAGCCGCCATTCATTTGAGTGGAAAAATCATTCGTTCATGATTTATTCCTATCACACATTAAAGTTAATTTTACATAAAGTCATAATGTACACAACAATCTCTGGGCTTGCTGCATAACAAATACCAAAATTTAAACAATTAATAAAACAATGAATCACTTTCTGGGCATCGGATATTAGGCATGGACATATATATTGCGATCGTGACTTTCGAAAGTATTAAATCGCTTTGTAAACGTTTATTATTACCATTTCATAAATCTCGCCATTCAGTTGAATAGAGCGCTTGGACCCGGAAGCCGCTCCATGTGACGTCACACTTAACAAGCGGATAGGTACCCTTTTGGTGGGCGTGGTGTACAGAAAATTTCAGTCAACGTCTTTCTCCCTCGAATAAATGTCTACAGTAAAGCTGTACGGGTTGTTTACATATATGAGAAGCACTTCTCACAAAACAGAGGCTTTACACACATAAACACTTGTGTATAAATGTTTATTACTAACTTTCCCATGAACATTTGATTATAACTGCAGATCAATGACGTGCGATCAGTGTGAAATAGCCTACTGTAACAACTGCAATTATATGAAAATAATTAAACATATATGAACACATACAGACCCTTACAGTTTCCGATGTTACAATTACAGAAAAACTACACACCGCAGACATTTAGTGCTTATTTAGGTTCAAAACAACACAAAATATAGCCCACAGTCAGTGCAGACCTCTCATATGTGTCTGTAATCTTCAGCAGCACATGTAAGCTCTGTTAGAGAGTCATACTGTCATTCCCAGTTTACAGGGCTCAAAACTGCGATCATTTTGGTCGCATATGTGCCCGAAATTTTACCTATGCGACCTCAAAATATATTTGGGAGCATTTGTGAGTAAAATTGTTGTGTGCGACAGGTTTTTACTGCAAAATGTTCACCACATGATTCAGGAGACAATCACGCAGAATGCATCTCTGCACTTGAAACGCGAAACGCAGCGCTCAGGAATGGTTTAAAACAGTTGTCATGTCAACTTGCTGCAGTAAACAAAGCCAAGTCCGTAATGCTTGCCCCGCCTTTGCACTCTTCTTATTGGCCCACCACTGCTTTAGCACTGAAATATCAGCTGTCAATCACTGTCAATGCCTTCTGGCTCGGGATGACAGAGAGAGCTACTACCAAGAAAAACTGTAAAGCGCTGAAGATGAGAATGCAGATAACACTGACAGATTTTGTTTTAGAAACCACCTAAAGTTACAAATAATGACACATCTTAGTAGTGACCATGTGGTGAATGTTACTCCACCATCTAAACACTAAAAACACTAAAACCTGAACCACACTGTTCCAGTTACTATGACCATTTATGTGAAGCTGCTTTGACAATCTACATTGTAAAAGCGCTATACAAATAAAGCTGAATTTAATTGAATTGAACCATCTACACTTTTCCAAGAGTGGATAAAAGATCTCCATTGGCTTCAAGTCCGCTATGAAAAGTCTGTGGGATGGAATTTTCAGGTAACTGTTTGCCACATCTAGCACGAGAGCTTCTGTTTAATCCTTCATATAATCGCCAGATGCTGTCCGATGTGCAAGTGGCAGCTATGTCAAATTGAACACCACGTACACCATCGCAAACGGGCTTACAACGAGTAAACTAATATCGCTACTCTTGAAATGTATTGCTGCTAATATGACGTATGCATAAAATAAGGCACATTATATGTCAAAAGCATCAGTGCAATATCAGACAGCACCCGTGAGAACAGCACAGTTATATCGTTAACGGATTCATGTCAAGCAGTGTGTGCAGGGCCGGTGAGCGGTCCGTGTATCTTTTGGTCACTTAGTTATGTTACAAAAATCTATTTTCTATTGATAACGGGATTTCTTTGAGACATATTTTCCATGCATATATATATATATATATATATATATATATATATATATATATATATATATATATATATATATATATATTTTTTTTTTTTTTTTTTTTTGCTTGTTAGTTTGACTAGTGTTAATTTTGTAATGCATTAAATATGTTTGCATAAAACGTAGTAGTAACGGTTCTTATAAATGCAACTAAATTGTGGCTGATGCGCCTACATTTTTAAAGTTAGGAGCACAGGTGCTTCCAAGCAGAAAGGTTAATTTCGAGCCCTGGTTTATAATAGTCCAAAAGGCGAAGATAAACATGGCAGTTTGTTCGTGATTCAGGTTGCTGAAACGATTTGCTCCTGTGTGTTGTCGGGCTTCTCCTTTGTTTGCGATTCACTCTCGCGTTTGTCCTTTTCTTTCTGAATGGATCAGATGATAGAGACACTTTAATAATCACGCACCCGTTATTATCTTCAGCTCAAGTAGTTCGCGCACTTTTAGACGGCCTCGTAAAAGAACAACAGGACATGGCAGATTTTGTTCTTCTTGGCTTTGTGTCTGTACATCAAGACTAAGACGAGGTTTGTTTGTCAGTTTTACAGTGTAATGTCTTGGGTGTGTATAACAACATGGCGGCTCCTTTGTTTTCATCTGGCTAGCTCCAGACTAGCTTGCGATGCATCTCTGTAACCAATCAGCGTTCAGCTGCGCATGTAGCTCCACCTTTTGGTACCCTTTCTCGTGTTTGGTACCCTTTCGAAAGGGTGCCGAAAAAGTGGTACGATATGGTTCGGTACGCCGTGATGTAAAAAATACATTAGAAGTCAGGCTCGGACACTTCCAGAATCTCGCTTATTGTGGGAGCGGATGCAATTGAAATATCACTATTTTTACAAAAAGAGGGTCACAATCACAGAAGATGACCAACTTATTACTTAAGAGGCTGTATTTAAAATATAAAAACTGTATATTCAACAGTGATAATCAATCAAAGAGAAATCTGCTCGTGAAATTAATTTGTTTTATTTTTTATGCCTTCTGAATTCAGTGACAGCAGTTTTGTTCATAAGAGTTTAATGGCTTTTATTTTGTTATCATGGATAAAGCGGTCTCGAATTTCTGGTTGTTTATTTGCATTCATTTGTTGTTTTTTCGTTATTAATATTTTTTCATCAGTGAGTGAGACGCTGATCTATTATGACAATATGCGTTAGCAGCGACAGTATTTGCGTTCAGTTCCATTTTTAGCGCTCACCTTTCACTACATCCTGATTCCCCAGCTCGCTCACTTTGTCCCAAGATATTCAGCCGGAAACGGCTAGCTGCTGGCCCCAAGAAAGCCTCTCTTTGGCTCGATCAGGCCCCGGAAATGACTATAGAAACGCGACTGGCCCTAGCTTGATTTGGGTGCGACAGTGAAAACGCGGCTATAGTGTTTAGCAGTACCAAAGACTCTAGAATGAGTGCATCTGAATGGTCTCTCTTCAGCGTGAATCCTCATGTGTAGATTAAAAGATGATGACTGGCTGAAACTCTTCCCACACTGAGTGCAGGTGAATGGCTGCTCTCCAGTGTGGATCATCATGTGGTGATTAAGGTTTGTTGATTGGTTGAAACTCTTCCCACACTGAGAACATGTGAATGGTTTCTCTCCAGTGTGAATCATCATGTGTTTATTAAGGCTTGATGATTGGCTGAAGCTCTTCCCACACTGAGTGCAGGTGAATGGTTTCTCTCCGGTGTGGATCGTCATGTGTTGATTAAGGTTTGATGATTGGCTGAAACTCTTCCCACACTGAGAACATGTGAATGGTTTCTCTCCAGTGTGGATCACCATGTGTTCATTAAGGGATGATGAATAGCTGAAGCTTTTCCCACACTGAGTGCAGGTGAATGGTTTCTCTCCGGTGTGGATCGTCATGTGTTGATTAAGGTTTGATGATTGGCTGAAACTCTTCCCACACTGAGAACATGTGAATGGTTTCTCTCCAGTGTGGGTCGTCATGTGTTGACTAAGGTTGGATGATCGGCTGAAACTCTTCCCACACTGAGTACATGTGAATGGTTTCTCTCCAGTGTGGATCACCATGTGTTCATTAAGGGATGATGAATAGCTGAAGCTTTTCCCACACTGAGTGCAGGTGAATGGTTTCTCTCCAGTGTGGATCCTCATGTGAATCTTAAGATCGTCTTTTCCTCCACAACTCTTTCTACACTGAGTGAAGGTGAAATGAGTCCTGTCTCTTGGTTTCAAAATACTGTAAGTCTGTATATGATTTTTTTCCTCAATTTTGACATGATGTTCCTCCTCTTTACTTACCACATTCTCTTCAATTAGGTCTGAAAAAAAGTAAAAATCAGGTTTTTATTACGTCTTTTAAACTCTCATCAAAAGCTGAAGTCAAAAGGCGCTAAAATCATTGGCTATACAAGCTGTAATTTTGATTTAAATTCTGTTGATCATCAGTTACAGTGCAAAAAAAAGCTTAGTTTCTACCTTTTATATGAAAAGTTTTCCCCGTTAATACATAACTGGTTTATCACACCCAAGTTTAATTTCTGTAGCCACACCCAGACCTGATTACTCAGACCTGCGAGTGAAAACAGCACAAATGTTAGGGAATGCCAACATTTCTCTTTAGACCCCAGGCAGAGGGTTAAATGTTTAACAAATCTCCTTTTACTGAGCATTTGATCAAAACATGGGAATAAAAGACAACTGAGCTTCACTCCACATTTATTACCTTGAGAACAAAAATTGTATTTTACTTTTCTCTGTCTTCATATAAAATTGTTTGTTTTTGTGCTTGTTTAATGAATCAGATCAACTGTTCAAAGCTTCTCATCATTATTCTTCTTCAGGCTTATTAATGAAGAATCAGGAATAAACACCAACCTATTTGTTGTTCAGTATCTTCATGTTTAATTCTGCAAGGTTCTGGATCACTCATGATCTCACTGTCCTTCAGTAAACTCTTCACTTGAGCCTGATGGGAATATTCCAGTGTTTATAATGGAAACACTTGCATTAAATATTCAGTATATAATTTACAATCATAACTGTTTCTTAAACATCATTAATTGTATTAAAACATACAAACAACAACACTGATACAAAGTTTTATAAAGTATTTACAATGATACTGTAAAATTACTCCAGAAAACATCTTTTCTAAACATCTTCCTCAAAATATTTCCTGGATTAAAACACTCTCTAATATCATTTTAAAAATACATCCTATTAAAAAATGTTTTATCATCAAAATATTCTCACTCAAGCTACAAATAGGTGTTTCTCCCCTGTTCAATAAATGTGTGTGTAAGTCTTGAGTGGCCGATTCTACATGTCATGTGTGCAGCGTGATCATGTCTCTGATTGCTTACATTTATCTCTCAATATTTTAATGAATTAAGTGTTTTATATTATTATACTGATCCCAAATTCTGTTTTACTGCAAAATAAAGCGTTTGCGTCTCTTCAAGAGTTTACACAAGCATATGTTCAGTTAAACAGTCAATATTCAATATAATCATCATTAAACTACCTCTTAGTGAATGAATTAGATGGAGACACAAATGAAAGGTGTCCAGATAACCCGTGAGTAAGACATTACAAGAGTGTTTACAGCGTAGCATCGAGCTAAAAACAAGAGAGTATATTAGCATTGAGCACATATGTTAAAGCGGTTCACACCGCAAGATGATTCCCGCAAGTCTGCGAACGCTACTATGGTCAGATATCATACACTTACTCTGAACAGACGAACAACACCCGCAACAGAAGAGGAATTTAAACCAATTAATCCTCAAACAGCAAAGTTTTGCTCTCCGATCTCCGCCTCAGAATAAGCGCTGTGGGCGGGATATTTGCCTGCACGCTGATCAGCGAAAGCTGATTGGCTGCCTGTAGCAGGTTCTGAGAAAGCTGATTGGCTGCCTGTAGGTTTAGAAGAAAGCGGGTATGGGCTATATGCACGCATTACTTCCGCGTTTTGTCTAAGGCCGCGGTCCAGCTTCCGGTCTAGGTGATTCTAAGCGGAGGTAAACAGTATTATGGCAGAATCTTCAATATTTACTCGCTGTTTGCGAGTAAATTATGGTCAACGATGTGCAAATGATTGTCCGGATGTGCTCTACAACACCGCAGAGCAAAGCTTGAGAAAGGTTTCAAGTTTTATGCATCTTCCTACCTGTGCAATTATGAAGGTAAGTTCAGCTAGCCTGAAGGCTAACTTTAGCGTTAATACTCTTACGATCTGTCCATCTGCAGCTTTATCACGTAAGTAAAAATAATCATATGTGTACGTAATTCTGTCTCAAAGTGTCAGGTAAAAACAGGGCAGGAATAAGATCTCAGTGAGAGCTCATTACTACCGATAGATCTATGAAGAAATCGGAGTCTCCTCACCAGCTGAGAGTAGGACAGCATACATGTGAAGTTCTGTCCCATTCATATTTTTACTGTTCTAAAGTGACCACCACTGTTCAGTTCGGATAATTACAGAAACACAGATGCTGTCTTAGCTTGTAAGCATGATTATTGAGCAAGATATATTAGGAATAAAATAATACAATGCCGTTCCATCCACAACAGACAAATAGCACTGTGTCAATGCTGAGATTTATTGCTGAAACAGTGGAGATGACAGATGCAGTGAAATAGTGTAGATAGCATGCTTTCTATTTAGTCGATAACATTGTAATTAAATGGGAGGGTGACCCAAAACAAAAAGGTGTCATTAGTTAATTTCACATCAACAATTTGTCTATTGCAATATTTATTAGTCTTTTATGTTAATGAACAAATGCTTATTCATTGTACTTGTTAACTCACAATGTAATAGCTAATGTTAACAAGCATGACTTTGGATTTTTATTCATTAGTAAATAAGTTTAACAATGCTAACTATTAAATATTAAATAGTTATTTTGATAGTGAGCAAATACATTAACTAATGAAACCTTATTTTAAAGTGTGACTAAAGGGAGCTACTTTTAAATAATTTAAATTAATGATTTACTGTGTAGTTTAATCTGATGACATTGCTGCAGATGCCTTTCAAAAGAAGATATTTTGAAGAAAGCTGAAAACCTGTAACCATTGACTTCCATGGTAGGAAAAAGAACTACTATGAATATCAGTGGTTGCAAGTTTCCAGCTTTCTTTGAAGTATTTTTGTTTGTGTTAAACATCAGAAAGAAACTCAAACAGGTTTGGAACAAGTGAAGGATGAGGAAATAGAATTTTCAGTTTTGAGTGAACTGCCTTTAATGACTCTTTAAAAACCTATTAATATTCTTGTTTCTGTTTTCTAGGTAACATTATGAGATTCAGAGCTAGAAAATTGTATGTGTTACTTCATCCTGGAGCGGACATCCGTCAGAAGATCCATGCCATCGTCTGCTAGTTAATAGCTCCTGCTCTTGTGTGGCTGAGAGTGGGATATGCAAACATTTGGTTGCTTTGCTTTTCCAGAAAGCCCATTACTCTGAAATGTGTAATGTGAGTTGTCACATGAACAATTGTTTGGAATGGATCAATTATGTGTTAAGTTCCATGAAACAGATGGGTGATTTATTTATTTATTTATTTAATACGTATAAGCCCAAATACCTCTCTATGCACAAGTTACAGAAGAAGCACCTGATTCAAGAAAACAACTGATTCAATGTTATTGTTTCTGTTTATCTGAATAAAATATTTTTTTCAAAATGTTACATTTTTTTGACAATTTTTATTTTAAATTATATACAGTGAATTATATTTTATATGCACAGTGAATAAAATAAAGGTCTTTATTCTGAATTTAAAAAATGCACTTAGAAAGTAGCTTAAGAAATGTTTATGTAAAATAATGTTCAGTTTTTTTTTTACTTCAGAGGCAATGAAAACAAACTATTATTTGCCATAAAAGCTCCTTTCTTTAAATGTCTGCATCCGGTTGGCACTCGAGCCTCGATCAGTTTTCTAGACTGAAATTGTCAGCTACACTCTTGTTTTTTTCTGTTTCTGTAAAATTCTCACGTTTAATATCAACAACCCACCTCTTCTGCACGACTTTGTCTTTTGGAAACGTGTGGAAACTAAGGTAAGAGTTCAATTTTTGACGCTGTGCATTGCTGAACACAGCAGTGGTATCTACAAGTACTGTTCTCACGTCTCTGAAATGACACCTTTAAACGTTTAGATGTCATATTTACGTAGCTGACATAAACATATATAAGTGGGCTATAATTGCATAAAACATTAAGACAACTGTCCAAAACATTACTCGTTTTTATCAGTAGCGCTCCTGTTGTAGCACTATACTGTACGATCAGCGGAAGTAGGCTCGGGGTCTTAAATTTTACCGGAAATGCGTCACGCGCCGCCGTGCATAGAGCCCATTCAGTCAGGAGAAATAGTAAGTGGTTTGTTTTGGGAGTGCACCTATTATGAAGTTTCGGGTTGACTTTAAATTTTCTTAAAAATGGTTTAAACTACGTTAAGCGTTTTAGAATGTAGAAACTTAATTTAGCTTAGCATTAATTTAATCTTTAGCTTAATTTTTAACTTGCTTTCATGTAACAGTCAGAGATAACGTTATATTTCAGTCAGGATAGCATGACATTTGCCTCTTAATACTTTTATCTTGTTTTTGAGTGATACATTCTGAAAATATGAACTGATAAAGAAGGAAAGAAACATAAATAAGAAACATATAACCATGAGAAGTGCGTGTTAATGTCCACTATCAATCTGAGGTAAAACTGGCCTGTGATATCTAATAGTTTTATTTTAATATGTGTGTGTATATATATATATATATATATATATATATATATATATATATATATATATATATATAACATGAATGGTCTTTCTCCAGTGTAGGCATGGGCCGGTATGGTTCTGACAGTATTATAACCTTGGATAAAATTATCACTGTTTGATGTTTTGACGGTATTGTGATTACTGCTCTAATATTCACTTTTTTAAATGTCTGAGTAAAATACTCTAACTTTTTCCCCATTTAAAAATAAATATTTTATTTTGAGAAACATTTAAAATATTCTGGAGCAGTAAACATGTCAGACTGAATAATTCAAATGAATCTTTGACTTCTGCTGTCTTCATTAGTTTCAGAAACAGATTTATTCACAGTTTAAAAAGACAATTTAGGAGATCTTTTCTGCTGGAGATACTGTTGTCCTAAAAAAACAAAGAAAAAAAAACCCTGACATACACAATAGGAACCGTAAAGCAGAAAATTTGGTCAGCTTTAAAACCTTGACTTTTCCAAACCACGGTATACCTTTGTAGTGGCTATTTTCTTTAAGGAGGCTCTCTCAGTGGTAAAGAAGACAAAGTCTTACCCAAAGTGTCTTTTAAAGTTTTATTCTTTGCAAAAAAGGTCAGACAATCATACAGCAACACAGATTTCTGCAGAGTGTGAGACCAATAGCAGAACACCCGCAAGGATATTAGTGACATACAGCAATGGTTCCCATCCTTTCTTTGCCAGAGACCCCATTTTTCCATGGAAATTACTGTAAGGCCCCCTCCACATTTAATACCATTATCACTCATATAAGTTTGCAGTAGGGATGAAAAAAAATGTTGTTTTCAAACAAACAGTGTGTTTATTACAATATCTAGACATGTTTATGCACAAACAATAGCCTAATGTAAAATATAAAGCAAACCACAAGCAGGTCATTTGTAACTGAAAAAACATAAGCCTTTGGCCTTTAAATTGACCCTATTTGAAATTCAATGACAAAAATATCAGTATTCACATTCGTGTATATCCTCCTGAGACCTACAGTAAATATTTTCTGTGATTTCCTACATCCTTTGGGTTAAAAAAAAATTCTACAATTTAGAGTTTTTACATTTTGTTTTAATTTTAAATCTTACAGCATGTCCACTGTAGTGGACCACAAGACTATTTTAGTTCAAAACGACCGGCACTCAGACAATAAAACTGTACAGGATATGACTGTACAGGGATATGAATCCAACATTATTGTAATCTTTTCCTTTTGTATTGAAATTCCTGAAACAGATTCGTCTGAGAGCCAAAAAAAAAAAAAAAAAAAAAAAAAAACAAACGAGAAAGTGATGTTAATCCAAAACAAATTTAACTTAAAAGAGATTTAAAACTGATTGTCATTCTCTAATTGTCTCCAATTGTCTGTTTGTTACACTCTAAGGCCCCATTTACACTGGTGCGTTGTAGTTTTAAAACGGCGTTTTAGAATGAAAACGATCCGCGTCCACACTCGCGTTTTACCCAGCGTTTCTGAACTGCTCTCCGTGTACACCGAAACGGTGAAAACGCACATCACGTGACCACACACACACACTTTGGCAAGCGCTGCAGCCCATCTACCCAGATGAGAGCTCTGCTGGTCGGACTTCTCATCAAGCATCTCCCGCTGGATCAAATCTCACTATATTTATTAATCGGGATATTTCATTCATCTTGTTGTCTTTATCTAACGACATATTCCCTGACTTTGGTCATTGGAATCTATTACTTGTTCTCAGGTAACGTGTTTTGGCTGAGCGCAGAGATAAGTTAATGATTAATGTAACCAGGTAGCCTACATTCTGTATATTGACTGATTGCTTGCCTTTGTTTCCTATAATGTATAAACTTATTGTATGTTATACTTTTATAATGGCCGTTATCGATTATTAAAACTGATAATCAGCAAAAGATGTGTGTTTCGTATTTTCACTGAAATTGAAAGGAGGCAGTTGTTATCGGCTCCATTTTGTTATAAATATCCACACAGTGAAGATGATGCTCATGCAGCACGACGCCTCAACATTTCTGCTGTCTGTTTAGTTGTTAATATTAAAATAAAAATAGGCAGTTCCTTATCAAGTTTACATTTTATTGTTGAGAAAGTGAAACAACGTAGCCAGGGCGATGTGAATGAAGTTATAAAGTACACTGTTCCCTGTGAAGATTGACGCGTGTCCTCGGTATGTTTTCCATATCAAACTCAGAAGAAGAGATGCAGCATTGATCAAACTTGCGAAGTCTGAACTTACATGGAGAAGATTCAGGACTGAACTGTGTGTTAGGCTACTTAATATTGAGGAAAAGCCCCAATCAGAGAGGCGAATGTCTGCAGCCCCGCCTCCGTTTTCAGATGTCTCCGTCTTTCCCCATCCACACTGAGACGGAGCAGCAGCGTTTCAGAATGAAAACGGCCTCTCCAGCGTTTTCGAAACGCTCCGTTTTCGGCGCTCGAGAACTCCGGCGTAGTGTGGACGGTTGGCGTAACCGTAGCAAAACTTATGCGTTTTCAAACTAAAACGCATTAGTGTAAACGGGGCCTAAGTCAGAGTCTCCATCAACTCTCTAATAAAGAATCCCCTCTACTTCAGTTCTGTCTCCTACAACATGCAGTCAGTAGCCCCTTTCACACATACAAACCTTTCCGGAAAATTACCAGCAATTTTCCAGTAGGTGTGTATGCGTGAACAGGCCCTTTTTGAAAATACCGGTAAATTCGTTCAGGCTATTTTCCAGAAAGAGAAGTTGTAACTTTACCGGTAATTTGCTGGAATGCTGCGCTGAACGCGGAAGCAAGATTGCCGGAAAGAGCGGGTTCACGTCTAGAACGTGCTGACGTAAGACTTCTGCTTTAGCCAATCAGAACAGTCAGACGCATTCACGTCCGCGCGGTTTATAAAAATAAAAGCCTTTAAATATTTTTCAAGACACATTTACAGTAGCTGCTAGATGTTAGTCAGATAACGTTTATATGCTCCTTCTTAATGCCAACTGTGTAAATAATTATCGATGAGATGCTTATTATAGGCTGTTGTTTGTTTACTTTGAAGCTCTGCTTCCTTTAGTTGCTTGACGCATCGCGTGTGCCTGTCAAGGAGCCGGTGAGCGACAGCACACACGCATATCATGTAAATCTCAACATGCGAAAGTGTTCCTCCATACGTTTTTATCGAAGTTGTTCACATTATTTATCCATCCACAGAGTTTGTAATGTAGTCAATTGTTTACAAGTAAAAGCCGTTTAGAGGTCATTTCTGGGTAATGATGTCAGAATTTACCGATATTTTAAAATGGATGTGTAAACGTTCTTTTTCGGAAAAAAATCTGTAAAATAGTCATCTGTGTGAACAGCGCTTTTTAATTTATCAGTAAAGTCGTTTCGGAAATTTTACGGTATCACTTTGTGATAGGGGCTAGTAATTACATTAAGATGGTCCTGGTGGACATTAAAAAAAGGATGATATTTTGAAACACAAACAGTTTACAGCTTTGAAAGATAAATATATTGTTCCTGACCCTTTAATAAACAAATATATATGTAACAATAATAATAGTATGTAACAATAATAATAATAGTAATAATAGTAGTAAAAAACTTTTAAAAATCAACATTTGACATCCCTCTCTCCTTCCCATAAAATGTGCTCGTTTGTGTGTCAGCCATTTTAGATGCAGTGTAAGAAGTGGTTCCTAGCATGCCAGCCAATCAAATGACACATCACTAGAAAGCCCAGGATGTCCTCTGAACAGTACAACAGGACTTGATAGAGTAGCTTAAAAAACTCAAAGAAAATTCATGAAAACACTGTCCACTACAGAGGACACAAGTCAATGGGCCGGGTCTCAGGAGTATAAGGGGGAAAAACATAATATAGAATATTACAATTTAATTCATGCATGTTGTTTGTTAAGCAGGTCACACAC